TGCTTACAAGACATTGAAAACCAGATTTTAAAATTTGATTCTAAACCAAACCAGATTTAATTTAGTTTTGGAATTTATTGTTCTTAGGTTTGTAATTTAAAACAAAGATTTTAAAATCAAAACCAAACTAAACTAACTTTATTATCTCTAATCTACCCATTCGGCACCAGTTGCGAGTGCGATGAATGAATATCTATCAGTAAATTCATCGATCTGTGATAAAATTTATCGTTAAGCGTTAACAAATAATCCAAATCGTAATTATAAAATAAACAAATATTAACATACTCTCTTCTTTGTAGGTTTTCCACGTCCGTGACCAGCCTAGTTTTAAAATTAAGAATGTAGGTATAATTCACGTCATTGAAATCAATATATGCACCTATATAAGTTGACATACTTTAGTTTCGATTCTAATCATTAAAGGATTTGGATTATTCTTTGCAACATACTGCAATTCAGCTATATATTTATAGGAATGCAAAGGCACTCTAAAAATCAATTATTCAAATTAATAAAACTAGGATGGTGATATTTTTTAGGTACATTAATTTAAAATCATTAATAAAATTAATAATCACACTCTATCGTCATGATCCGATGTGGTCAATAAAACCGAAGGATATGGTTTAGTAGATTGTATATTATGAAGTGGAGAATACCTAAAAATATCAAAATTTTCACAGATAATGTAACCAAATAAAATTATTAAGATTTAAAAAAAGTATCAAATAAAGGTGCACCATACTTGTAAATATATTCGAAATCTTCCTTTTTATCAGGGTCACCATAATCACTTTTCCACGCATGTCCAATAGTGAATTTATGGAATCTCAACATATCCATAACGCCGACGTCTGCTACTGCAGCACCAAATAATTCGGGTGCCTAAAAAAAAGGCACATACAAATTAATTAACCTGAATGATATTATAAAGCAAATATGTTTGTAGAATTTTATTGTGTGATAGACAGCTTCCGCACGGGCCAAGTAGGACCGAGTAGTAGCAATGCCCTAGCCTCACACGTTTAGGGCTCAATTCTCAAGTCTTTACCCTTACCATACGGCCTGAAAAACAATACCCCAGTCCGACACGACGAACTTAGCATGACCACCAAGACATTTACATACGAATTTAAATTATTTGCCGATACATATAATTTAGTAATAATATTTTTAAACAACGATTACGTAAATGATTCGGACGGTTATGATAGAGGGGTTACCCGGTACTTATGGGCCTACCCGCGAACATCCACTGGTAGCCCATGCAGAAGCCTAATTAAACACGGGCTTGGGCAGGCAGTAGCAATACTTTAGCCCTGCTCATTTGTATAAAAGCACAACTTTCAAACCCTTACCCTAGGGTTCAAAAATCGATGGCCTAGCCCGGCCCTTGTGGGCCACCCATGGGTACCCCAAGCCCGTGCGGAGGCTTAGTGATAGCCAAAAGCGCTATCTAATATCACACTCAATGATTGTGGAGGCTGATGCTGAAAATTTATGGTCACTATTTGGATCTACAAAATCTACTAACACCCACTTACACCCTTCCATTATCCTTTTATTAACAATTCTATCCCAAAATTTTAAAAGTTTCATAATAAATAGATCAAAATTTTCAGATTCAGCCACCAGTGATTAAAATCAATTTACTACCTGGTTTATGCATGCACCAACTAGTAAACCACCATTAGAACCACCATTTATAGCTAATTTCTCAGGGCGTGTATACTTATTATCTATCAACCATTTAGCAACCGACTTTAAATAAGAAAACTATTAATTTTAGTATACAATGCTGCTAAAAAAAAAAATAAAAATAAAAAATAATAAAGAAAAATTATGACGAACCTGAAAGTCATCGAAAACATTTTGTTTATTGTGCAACATTCCTGCTTTATGCCATTGTTCACCATATTCACCGCCACCACGAAGATTAGCGACAGCAACAATGCCATTATACTGCTTAATAAAGTTCAACCAAGAAGTAGAAAATGACGGTGCTAAACTAAAATTGAATCCTCCATATCCATATAACAACGTAGGGTTATTGCAATTAAAATCGATATGCTGTTTGTTATTTAAAATTAATTAGGATATTATTGCTAAAATACCCCGATCACTATCTCAAGATAAACAGTCAAACCTTCGGTGAAACAATAAAAACGGGAATTTTAGTCTTATCCTTGCTCTCAATGAAGACTTGTTTTGTTTCAAATAAATCACTGTTAAATCCCCGAACTTCAGTAGTTCGATATTCTGACAATGTTTCCTTTGAAAAATCGTACCGATAAATGATACCAGGATTCAAATAGCTAGTAAATTTAAAGAAAAACTCTGTATCTTCCCTTCTCCCCGCAACTGTTTCTATTGATCCTATAGGGATTGGTAAATCCTTAATATGCTTTCCGGTGGACAAAGAATGAATGGATACTTTTTCTTTCACGTCATGCATATATACAAGAACGAGATTTGTTTCTGCAATTGCGTCTGCAGAAGAAAGAACATCTGCTGGATGTTCTTTGATGATGTCAATAAAACCCTAAGATAAGTTAGAGATGTTATACGTAAGAAATTCCTAAATGAAGGAACAAATGAAAGAAAAAAAGATAGTTACGTCATCGGGTCGAGATAAATCATATTTTACGACTTTATATCGGGGTGCATTTAAATTAGTCATTAAATAAAATGTTGTTTCATCATTTGTAATACTAGGAAAAAAAAAAAAGAAGTTAAATAGCGGAATAAATTATAAATTATTTTAATTAGAATCTAGCTTACTATTCAAATTCGGCATCAAAGTTATCAACAATTTTGAGAAAGTCGAAATTTTCTGGTTTGCAAATGATAATAAATTAATGACAAAATTTAAATTTATTATATTTAAATATATTATATGAAAGATATCAGATATATACCAACGATCCGACGATTAATTTTTTCTAAATCAAAGATCCATAATTTATTTACACGATCACAATCTTTTACAATTTTGAGAATTACGTAGCGACCATCTGTGGAAACGGAAGCTTCACACATATACTCAGGGTTGCTTGGGTCTTTATAAATTAAAATATCATCAGACTGAGGAGTGCCTAATTTATGATAGTAAAGCTTTGATCGCAAAAAGAAAAATAATCAATTAAGGCATTTAGAACAATGATAGTTCAAATTTATCAAAATACATTAAAGTTTTATATTTACCATTTGATTGTGATTCGAGTCGGTTTCGGTGCCTTTATCATCACTTTTTTCAGGTTCAGGATATCTCTGTAAAGATAAGAAATATATTAATAATGCACAGATAAGAAGTTTATTATTACAGAGTAACTCATTAAAAGTACATTATAGAAAAAACCAGCTTCATCATGGGTCCAACTAAAGTATGAGAATTTAACCCATTCAATCACAT